TCAGGGGTGGATGTAAGGAGAAGACTTGGGGCAGCACAGGGGCTAAGTGGTTTCTGCCTGGCAGTACTAGGGTCACCGTTTCAAGTCCAACCATGGCACCACCTGCCTGGAGTTTGCATGTTCTCCCTGTGCCTGCGTGGGTTTCCTCCTACACTCCAAAGACATGCTGGTAGGTTAATTGGCTCCTGTCTAAATTGGCCCTTGTATGTGTATGTATGAATGTGAGTTAGGAACCTTAGATTGTACACCCCTTGAGGGTTAGGGACTGATGTGAATGTACAATATATATGTAAATTGACAGCACTATATAAGTACCTGAAAAAAAATAATAAAATAAAGACTGGGCTTCCAGAGGCACTGCAATGAAAAAGCACAGAGGCTTGAACATGGGTCTCTTCTCCATTCTTTTCCTTGCAAAGCTCCCTTCTACTCTAATTTTGGGGTGGAGCTGCACCTTATGGAGTGTCTGACCTCTTGAAGACAGTATATCTCGTAATTCTTCAATACTTTTGAACAGCATATAGAGACCTTTGTATAGGAGTATGTAGGCAGATCATGTAGGCAGATGTAGTTAGCCACTTTCCCAATAGGTGGCTCTGTACCAGTCTGATACAACAGATAGGCCACAGGTGTCAAACACAAGGCCCACAGGCCAAATCCGGCCCTCCAAATCCGGCCATTTTATGTGGCCCTTGCACCTCTACTGAAGGTACCCCCTTGTCTCCACCCCCAACCTTGTCTCAGCCGTCGGCACCAGAGAGGAGGATAGAACTCCTCTGCCAAATCCTGCACCTTTCAGTGCAGCTGTAGCACCCCCTCATCTCTGCCTCCCCTTGTCTCAGCATTCAGTAGACTCTGGTAACTAACTCCACTCCTCCTCTGGTCCTCCTCCAGACCCTGCACATTCTGTTTTCCAGCTCTGCCCCCAATGGGGGTGCACGGTGATGTTAGGGAGGGTGTGGCATTCTTGATATCTGATGTAATGGGGGGCTCTGGACATCTAGTCTTACAGATACAACTGGCCCTTTGAGAGCAAACATAATGCTGATATAGTCAGCGATGAAATGGAGTTTGACACCCCTGTGTTAGGCCCTTTTTGGTAGAGCCCTCCCACAAGTGATGTCAGGGGTGAGTTAGCACCCATATATAATCTAGGTAGGGAGGGAACACAGAGAAGTGAAGGAGAAGGGGAGGGCAGAGAAATGGAGGGGGGCGAAGAGGGCGGAGGGGAAAGGAGAGAAAGAAAAGAGGCAACAAAAAGGAAACGGAGTATGTACAGGTCTCGTCTGCTCATGTAAGGCTTTTTAGGAATATGCAAATATTTAAAGTGGAGGTCCAGTCGGAATTGAATAAAAGTCAGCAGATACAAAAACTGTAGCTGCTGACTTTTAAAAAAATGGACACTCACCTGTCCCTCAATCCCGTGGTGTCCTTACACCAGCCGGGTTGACCAACTGTCCTGTCATCCTCTTCCCATCTTCAGCTTGTGGCTTCACAGCCGGGTGCCCACTGCACATGTGCGAGTAGCGCTGCGCTTGACAAGGGTAGAATATACGCCTTCCAACTTAACCAAGCCTGCTAGGCCAACCCTCCATTCCAGCTATACAAAATACACTAACCAAGTTTTTGGAGTCAAAATGGCCATAGCAGACTTTTATTAACCAAATAAATTATTTCAACATAAATAACATTCCAAATTATAAACAGATGAAAAACGTGGTGGTCATTTGAGGGTCATAAAACCCAACTTCACTTTTGCAGAAAACATTCCTTCAACTTAGGCCCCCAGCCGCAACTCACCGGCTCTGGGACAAACCTACTTATCCCCAGCTGCAACACACTGGCTCGGGCATAACACTACTTATCCGCAGTGACCACCATTTTACCTATTCCGAGTTAACCCTTTGTTAACCGGAATGTACCAAGGTCCCCATACCACTAATGGGTCCTGAATCTGTCTCCATACAGAATTCTTTCCCCCTCCAAAGACCACCGCAAGACAATCCAAACCAAAGCACGAAGGGGAGGGAGGGTGGGAAGCTTCTTCTTCTTCCAACTTCCCCCACTGGACTTCCTGAGGTCAGACACTCCTTTTCCTCCCTGTGAGACCCTCCCCAACATCCCCAATTCAATAAGGTAAGTCATAATCCCAAAAACTTCCTACCCATCTTCTATCCCTCTGTTGTCCCTCTATTTCCCCTAGTCATGTCATCCCTGCGCTTATTTATTTTTTTTGCTCCGGGCCTACCTTTCTGAATGGTTCCATAGTCTACTGGGACCTGTCACATGTTCCAGAAGACTACAGGGAGGGAGGGGGGGAGGCCAACTTCTAGGTTTGGAGAAGGATTGTCCCCCTCACTGGACCATATCTGGAGAAAGCTGTAACGTGGCAGCTGTCCTGGGGACTTGTGAGTAATGACTCTGAACTGATTCCTGGTGACTGTGTGCTTTTGGGATATAAGCACCAGAGGTAGCTAGACTGAGACGGCTCTCATAGGGTCTCAGAGTACTGGCCATTCCCCTGTCCTCAGTAGTAGCCTAGGGAAGAGTGTTCTCTTGTTACTGTGCAGCGTTTTGGAGTATCCCATGCCCTAAACTCATCTCCTGTTTAAAAGTTTTATAAGCAATAAATTTCAAAAATACATCCTCTAGACTGAGTTATTGGAGCCGGTGTGCATGGATTAGTGCTTGTGGGGACGGGCAGCCTTTGTACTACGTGGGAAGAACCAGCTATTACCAGTGGCCCCTACAGGGGTAGCGCTACAGGTGATTCAACCCATCAGTACCCACCCAACACCAATGTTCAGATGGTATTTATGGTATGCAGGCTGTCTTTGAGGACACTATTACACAATAACTACTAAGAAAACACTACAAATGAATATTACCACTGAATTGCTGCCTTAACTCTAGACGTGTGACATAATATCACAGTTTACAATCTGAAATACCTCTTTCATGGTAAGTTTTATGTAGCATATCTCAAAGTGACAGTGTTTAGATTGGAAAATTCTTTCTGTTAGATGCCAGTATTCTTATGTCTGCGCATAAAGAAAAGCTTTGGCAACTTAGCTGACTAAAGTAGAACTCTGCTGAGCACTGCTTGTGCCTGAAGCATCCACATTTTTATATAACCTCAGAAAAAAAATAAGAAAAAGTAAAACCTTTTCCTCTAGTACAGTACTCTCTAAACTGTGGCCCAGGTGCCCGATGTGGCCCTTTACTTGCCTTTATCTGGTTCTTTAGGCACCATCCCCCTTTTGACACAATAAATGGGACACTATTCCTCTCATTGATATCAACAATAGGGCACTATTTCTCCCATTAAAACCAATGATGGGACACAGATGCATTTTTTTGCTCCCACTGGCCACAGTCCAGCCCCCCTAAAGCCTGAAGGACAGTAGACTGGCCCTTTGCTTAAAAGGTTTGTAGACCCCAACACTAGTAGAAAATTACTTAGAACAATTATGGCTCTAGGTATGGATATGGACCCTTTAACATAACCTGCAAACAATCATTACATATGCAATAAATAAAGCACTTTATTGTTCATATTACCTTTGTTTTTGGGCTCCAGATACAGCGACACATTGGGGTTTTTTTTTTATATTAGATTATTAGCAACGTTTTAAAGCTGAAACAAACTAGGAGCTCAGTTTTGGAAAGAGTTCTGCTTTAATCGTTTTTTGGCCCTCATCAGAACATGCATACAAATCATAGGTACCCATAAGAGTTTACAAAATCATGTGTATATCAGTAGAAAATAACCCCCCCAGCATCATAAAAAATAAGACACCATAAATTCTCGTAGTTCATAGGCATACTTTGTAACATTGAATCTTTATAGATCTCTTTAGAGACAGGTCACTTTCTTAGTTTTCTTTAAATGTTTTGGGAAACAAATCCTTTTTTTACAAGGTGTTCTGATCCCCCCCCCCTACGCCTTCTCGCAGCAGACTCTGTGCCCTTCTGTACATGTGATCATTGGATCAGGTCAGACACGTCTAATATGCAGAGAAGTCAGAGCGGTGACATCATGATCTCTGTTGGCGGCGGTGGCGTGCAGTCACACAGGTGCAGGATCTAGGCCATGTGACTCCAGCAGCCGAACAGCTGAGAAAACACGGCATCTGGTGCCTTCTAGTGCATGCCGGTCTTCCTTCCTGACAGTGGAGCACAGTGTGCGGAATATAGATAGAAAGTGTACAAAGCGGCAAAGGAAAGGGGGAGGGGGGGTTCAAATATCCAGATCTCAATCAGAAAAGAATCAATTGCAGTGCGGTATTCTCTATTCGTATTACTCCGTTGTACAATCATATTGTAATGTGTGTGGTGGGCTTTAGATTTATCAAAACTATGTAACAATTTAGTCGGTTTTGTATCAAATCAGACAGGCCTTTACACTACAGAGATGATGGTAGATCTAAAAGAGATTGTACAAGCAGATCGCATGTTGTTTGGTCAGCCTAAACAAGATACTAAACATCCTTGTTCTCTGAAAATTTTTCCTATACATCCACTACCTAATGGCCCTGTAATCTGTTTTTTATTAAAGTGTTACTAAACAGCAACAACAGTAAAATCAGTCTGTAGATGCAGTAAAGCATGCTTGTTATACTCACTGTGGAACCTAAGGGGTTAATCCTCTGCATTGTGTAAAAAGGCTGTTTGATCCTGACTTCTCTGATCCTCCCTTTCTTCTACTGTCCCCAATCTATCTGCTGATAGTACAGAGCTCTAGAATGCATTCTGCACATGTTTGGTGTTTATTGCTAGAGAGTCTTTTTGTTCTTTGGGAGAGTGCATGTGATCAGCACAGGACCAATCAGCACTGTCCAGGCAGTGGGTCAGGGATCCTAACAGTCAGCGGATAATTAAAACTCCTCCTACAAGCTTTAACCAGTGCTCATCTGGACACTGATAGAAGTCACAAGACTGCTATATACTGCTGATGAGAAAAGGTATTTAGCAGTTTATATTTACTAAAATAATCGCATTTCCATGTTCTGTGTACTGTAGGAGACCAGACATAGTGAATGCAGGGTCCAGGGAGACCAGACATAGTGAATGCAGGGTCCGGTGAGACCAGATATAGTGAATTCAGGGTCCGAGGAGACCAGATATAGTGAATGCAGGGTCCGGGGAGACCAGATATAGTGAATGCAGGGTCCGGGAGACCAGATATAGTGAATGCAGGGTCCGGGGAGACCAGATATAGTGAATGCAGGGTACTGGGAGACCAGATATAGTATAGTGAATGCAGGGTCCGGGGAGACCAGATATAGTGAATGCAGGGTCTGGGGAGACCAGATATAGTGAATGCAGGGTCCGGGGAGACCAGATATAGTGAATGCAGGGTCCTGGGAGACCAGATATAGTGAATGCAGGGTCCTGGGAGACCAGATATAGTGAATGCAGGGTACTGGGAGACCAGATATAGTGAATGCAGGGTCCGGGAAGACCAGATATAGTGAATGCTGGGTCCTGGGTTTAGTAACAATTTAAATTGTCCTCTGTGAGCTCCTGAACCTCTCCTTTCCCCCATCACTTACATTTGTTTGGAATGAGCAGTGCATGTTAGTTGTGGTTATGTACACTGCTCTATGCACACTGCATATCCCATAGTCCATTTTTCAGGAGTGACCAAGGCAAGGTGGCTACAGTACATTCCTACATACAGTGAGACCATGGAGAATGAACGTAGCCACCCTCTAACAGGAAGTCAGATCACAGCAAAAACTAATATAATGATGGGACACTATTCCTCCCACTATGATGAGGCACTATTCCTCCCAAAGGAATTTGTAAATGTGGAGGAGGCTGAGAGCAATAGAAGGGACTTTTTGAATTAAGAATAGATACTTGAATATATTTTATTTTAAAACCAGAGATTAATGTCACTTTAAATCACAATGCACATTACAATCGGATTGTACAATCTTTTAGATTTTTCAACAACTATGATTAGAAACAGATTGATTAGATTAGATCATTTATTTGTATCCTCTTACTATACATTTTTGGGAAATCTAAACTTAATTGTACAGAGATTACAGGGCCAGATTGTAATGTGTATGGGAAGCCTTAGTTTTCAGGAACGGGAGACTGCAGCTGGAGGTTTCAGCATGGTGCTTGTGAAGAGCTACAATCATTGCCAAAAATATCGGCACCCCTGCATTTCTGTCAGATAATGCGCCACTTCGCACACAAAGTTGTTGCAAATTTAAATGTTTAGGCATTTCCATGTTTATTCCTTTTGTTTGTATTGGTATGACACAAAAAAGTGGGGAAACATTTCCATGTTTATTCCTTTTGTTTGTATTGGTGTGGGGAAAGCTACAAATGCCAAATCTGATACATTCCACACAAAACCTCAAAAATGTACTGGACAAAATTATTGGTACCCTCAATTTAATATTTGGTAGCACATCCCTTGGAAAAAATAACTGAAATGAATCGCTTCCTGTAACCATCAATTAGTTTCTTACACCTCTGTACTGGAAATCTGGACCACTCTTGTATCACCACATGCTCCAGGTCTCTCAGATTGGAAGGGTTCCTTTTCCCAACTGCTGTTTTGAGATCTCTCCACAGGTGCTCTATGGGATTGAGATCTGGACTCATTGCTGGCCAGTTCAGTACTCTCCAGCGCTTTGTCTGAAACCATTTCTGGGGGCTTTTTGACGAGTGATTTGGGTCATTGTCCTGCTGTAAGACCCATGACCTCTGATGAAGACCCAACTTTCTAACACCGGGCCTTACACTGCACCCCAGAATTCTTAGGTGGTCTTCAGATTTCATAATGCCTGCACTAGACATCCAGTGCCTGAAGCAGCAAAGCAACCCCAAAGCATCAGTGACCCTCCACCATGTTTGACTGTAGGGACTGTGTTCGTTTCTTTAAAGGCCTCATTGCTTTTTCTGAAACAGTACAATGATGGGCTTTATCAAAAAGTTGTCATTTTGTTTTGTCTGTCCACAGCACATTGTCCCAGAAGGATTTCGGCTTCCTCAGGTAAGTTTTGGCAAACTCCAATCTGGCTTTTTTATGTTTCTGTGTCAGCAGTGAGGTCCTCCTGGGTCTCCTACTATAGCATCCCTTTTCATTCAGATGGCAACATATAGTGTGAGCTGACACAGTTGTACCCTGCGCCTAAAGGTCAGCTTGAATTTGTCTGGAAGTTGATCGAGGTTCTTTATCCACCATTTGAACAATCCTTCATTGCAATCTTTGATCAATTTTTCTCTTTTGTCCACGTCCAGGGATTTTAGCTACGGTGCCATGGGCTGTAAACTTCTTGACAATGTTGTGCACAGTGGACACAGGAACATTAAGATCTCTGGAGATGGACTTGTAACCTTGAGATTGTCCATGCTTTTCCACAAATTTTGTTCTCAAATCCTCAGACAATTATTTGCTGCTTTTTCTCCATGCTCCATGTGGCACTCAAAGACACAAAAGAGAAAGGTTTAGTAAAATTTTCACCATTTTAACTGGTTGCCGGTGTGATTTCTATATTCTCAGAATCTATTAATTGATACAGGTGAGTTTTATTACAAACTTGGAATGCAATTTTTTCTTACAATTGTAAGAAGGTACCAATAATTTTGTCCAGTCCATTTTTGGAGGTTTAGCTTGGAATGTGTCAGATTTGGCTTTTTGTTTCTTCAATTTTTTGTGTCATATCAATACAAACAAAAGAACTAAACATGAGAATGCCTAATCATTTGTAATTGCAACAATTTTCTGGTGCATTATCTGACAGAAATGCAGGGGTGCCAATATTTTTGGCCATGACTGTAAGTCTAATAATAAGATTGGCATCAGGTAAGATGTAGACCTAGGTATGGAGGCTATACCCTACCCAAAGCTCTAAAAAGGTCCTTTCACAAGGGTGCTCCATCTGGCCTTTTTCAGTCATCCATTGACAGAAAATGGGCAAACGTAAATGTAAATGGATGATCATCTGTTTACATCAGTGTCTGTTCAGCAAGCGGACCTGGTCACGTGCGTAACAATGCCATGCACAACGATGTTCCAGTTAATTGGACCACGATCGACGTACCGGCAGCCTGAATGCGATTGTTACTGGTTCAGGTTAATTACGCAATTAACCCTTCACACTGCCACCACCTCCTTTTTATACCGAGAAAGAGGAAACTCAGTAATACACTAGGATGATTGGTTAACCGTCAGTATCCCGCTATCTCTACAGACCGGTTATACAGAGGGTTAAATACCCATAGTTGCGTTCTTCAGCGGCAGGGACTCGTAAGTTACATTCAGGAGCTATAGAAACAGTTCAGCACTTTTAGAAAGTAAGATTTATTAGCAAAAGGTCGAAAGGGTGCAGTAAAAATATTTACAGAAAGAAGATGTAACCAATATATATATATATATATATTTATAAATATACAGAGCACAACAGCACAGCAAACAGATAACAGAAAGAAGTTTTGGTAAATAAGTACTTGCCAAATAAATGCCTGGAGTTAAGCAGTTTCAAGTCTGATGAGCTAAAAAAGGGATTTCTGGTCTCGCATTGGGTTTCGTTGTTGCCACGAGATTCTCCTTTCCTTTCTGTCCAATAGATGTTATATCTAGACGGTCCTCACTTGTCTGACTCACACAAAACTAACAGCTTCTTTTTCTACACAACATCAACTGGTATCTTCCCTACCTTATTTGGCAGAGGAATTGTTAGGCAGGGCTCAGCATCATACGCTGCTTGCATTCCTGAGGGAGGGGGGAATGAGGAGATACATGAAGCCCTCTTCCTACAGGGAGAACCTGTGCCTGGCTCTTATATGCACGATACTACACCTCCTCCTCTCAGGTGATTGCATATTAGTTTAAGAGAAATACCACAATGCAGAAATTTGGAGCAAAATGGAGAACCGCACCTCTCCCAGTGGGCATGATTGTGAGAGACCTAAACAGATGTAAATGGACAGATGGTCTGTTTTTGCATTTATGAGTCAACGCTAGTGCTGCCAGGTGGGCGTGCTAACCACTAAGCCACTGTGATGAATTATATTGTTTGCAAACTTACATTGGGCTAGCTGGTGCAAGTATGCATATCTGATGGGCCGCTGGGGATGTAATAAATCACTGTAGTAGTCTGTGCTACATACAGTGAGAGCTGTGATCTTCTGGGTCCTGGCCAAACGACTTCCACTTTGTACACTGACCATAGGTGATCACTTGCTTGGCACCTCCACCATTCATAGGCGCCTTGTATTTTTATCAGTGAATACAAAGTGTTCTCTGACTGGATAAGGTGGAGACCATGACATCCTCTCCACCTCATCCAATCAGAGAATGCCTTGTAAAATACAAGGTGTTCTATAAATGGTATCAGTGCCCTATGATCAATGTCTAGCAGGGGAGCCAGAAGATGACGGCTCTCACTGTATGTAGAAAATTGTTCTGCAGTGATTTTCACCATCCCTAGGCCTTCAGATAGCCCTCCAGATATCAGATACTGTATGTGTACTTAAATCAAGCCAAGTTGGTCCAATGTAAGTATGCAAAAACTATAGTTCATAGTGGTCAGCTTTTTTGGAAAATACCATTTATTGTTCTCTTGGTTGTACAGTACAAAAACATAGAAAGAAAAACCCAGGTTCCAAAACCTGGCCTATCTATACAAAGATAACCTGACTATGACCCACCATCCCTCCCTTCCTGCACCCCGCGCAACTACCCTAAACAGTCTGCTGTGGAGCAAAAAGAACACAATCAAAGGATTACAACCTATATAGGCCACAAGATACCCTTCCAGCAGAAAATCATATGACCGGAGTGTAACCCCAATAGGATTCTTCCTCAGAAAAGCAAACAGACAATCAAAAGTACATAACTCAGGGACATGTAAACCACCTCAATTTATTTATGAGTCAATGGGAAGATCTCATCCTGCAGTAGACATGTCCGTCAACCAACACTGCCAAACCTTATAAAATTTTTCCGCGGGCATCCCCTATGTAAGTGTGTGGTCTTATATAAGGGCAAAGATTTATTAATGATACCCTTCCAAAACTACATAGAGTGGGCTTCAGGCTTTTTCCAATAGAGCAATATAGATTTGCGGGCATAAAACAATGTAACGGACAAGAATGTCCCCTGTGCTCTAAGTGGCGCTACTTCCTCGACCAGCCCCAGGAGGCATACCGACATTGTTAACGGGACATGTAAAAATGTAAGCTCCTGTATAGGGCGGGTGACCGCCAGCCAGAGATTCTGTATTATCATACAGTGCCAAAAAATATGATCGAAGGTGATGCCGTACACCTCCAACACTGCCGAGGAGGTCCCATAAATCCTGGTTAACCTTGTCGGAGTATAATAAATCCTGTGCAGGAGTTTAAATTGGATAAGATGATCCCTGGCCGAAACTAGTGCTTTGAATGGAACCTCCCACATATCATCCCAATCATCTCCCTGATAATTAGGAATAAGGGCCACA